CTCGCCTGGAGAAGACGGGGAGCATTGTGAGAGTTATGTTCTTTGACTTCTCCAGTGCCTTTAACATCATCCATCCACCTTTACTGAGAGATAAGCTAAGGGCAGCGCAGGTGGACACTCCCCTGGTGTCCTGGATTATAGACTATCTGACTTGCTGGCCACAGTACAGTATGTACGGCTACAGAGCTGTGTGTCTGAACAGGTTGTTAGCAGTACTGGGGCTCCACAGGGGACCGATCTTGCTCCATTCCTGTACACCTTTTACACCTCTGACTTCAGGTACAACTCTGAGACATGTCATCTGCAGAAGTTTTCAGATGACTCTGCAATTGTGGGGTGTATTAGAGAGGGGAGGGAGGAGGAATATAGGAGATTGATTACCAACTTTGTGGAGTGGTGTCATCTTAACCATCTCCATCTTAACACCAGCAAGACCAAAGAAATGATCTTGGACTTTCGAAGGAATCAGTCTCCGCTGAACCCTGTTTCCATCCAGGGTGAGGACATAGAGGGCGTACATTCCTACAAGTACTTAGGGGTACACCTGGATGATAAGCTGGTGTGGTTTGGTAACACTGACGCCCTGTACAAGAAAGGCCAGAGCCAACTATTTTCTTAGGAGGCTCAGGTCCTTTGGTGTGTGTGGAACACAGCTACACATTTTTTATGAATCAGTGGTGGCAGCGGCCATCTTCTATGCTGTTGTGTGCTGGGGCAGCAGCATCATGACAAGAGATGCAAATAGGCTCAATAAACTTATCAAGAAGGCTGGCTCTGTGTTGGGGATGAGCCTTGACTCCATGGAGGTGGTGGCTGAGAGGAGAATGCTGACCAAGCTCACAGCCACCATGAACAACACCTCTCATCCGCTTCATGGGACTGTTACTGGGCAGTGGAGCACTTTTAGCAACAGATTGCTCCAGCTACGGTGTTCAAGGGAACATTTCCGCAGGTCTTACCTGTGTGTAACATATTGTGTTTTCGTCCCAAAAAGTTCACCTCCCCAGTAATGATACATAAAGAGATCACAGCAGTGAGTTGGATTGAAAAAGTTATAGAACTAATTTGAGAACTAAGAGGAAAAAACATCCTTATAGACTGTTTGTTAGTAACTAATTTGCTTAATGAGCCCTTCCATCTCTTTCTTGAAAGTTCCAGGCAATCAGCTTTAACATTATATACATAACCATCTTTGACCCTGCTTACTGCAGACTCTCACAACCCACTGTGTTAAAACACTCCTCCTGTTCTCAGTTTTAATTGAACACCCCCATAGCACCAATTTGTGTATTTTAATTAATCTTAAATAGAAGACGTCCATTGGGTTAACTTAGTCCTGACTTGAAGATTTTGAATACTCAGAGTCAGGTACCCCTGTAAATGTATGTGCTTAAGACTAAAAGGATTTATTGTAATTATCTAAGCCTGCCAGGGTAGGGCATTTCTTTGAAAGAGAGATTGTGCCTGATGGATCTTCACTGAGTGGATTCCAGAACAGTTATATATATTTTGTAATATTACAATTACAATAAAATATTCATCTGTATAACTGTTATCAGAAAAAGACACTTATTCCTGAAAATGATCTCTACAATCTGGAGCCTTTCCAGGAAGAATAGGGTGCCACTCCAACAGACATATAACATCTCTTAATTGAAGGGCCAAAATTGTAATGATACATCCTAACATTCCAAAACTGATTGAGTCTACAAAAGCAATTTTCCTACAATGTTTTTTCCTAGGGTAGCTACTTCAAAAGTAGCATTTCTCACCTTATATTTAAAAGTTATGTTTAACTACCTTCATATACTGTAGCATGTGCTTGCATTTTCTGATTCCTGAAACTCCATGCGTAAAACAGAGGAGCTTGCCCAGTCTTGAATTTTGTCAACTTCTTTTTGAAATTCCTGTAATGCTTTCAAACAATTTGAAAATTCTGTTAAGTATCATCTTCTCTGGTGTCCTAGATATACCTGAGTCTAGATCAGTTACAGTATATAAAGCTACTGTAGTGGAGCGGTGAGTTCTGATACAGACCCATGCAGTACTCCACCAAATTACATTGCCTCAATGTGAGCAGTCATCTTTTATACTTTTTTTGTTTAACCAATTCTAGATCCAATGATTCATATGCATTCATAATTACATATGATCAAATTGGCAGATATTTGAATCTTAATTCTGTTTACATTTGCACCCATCCATGCAGCATTTTTAGTAAAACACTCTTACTGAAGAACCTTGCTGAAGGGTACAACAGCAGTGACACACCTAGGATTTGAATCAATTTATTTTTATATAGCGCCTTTCACAACAAGGTTGCCCCAAGGCACTTAACAAAGCTGTGTGACAAAACTTGACATTACAATAAAGAAAGAGAAAAAGCCAGAAGACAACGGAGGAGAGGAATCCACATTCCTCCATCCTAACAACTTCTCCACACTGCTGTCCAGCATTGGCTGTGTTACCTGAGATGCTTACAGCCTTGAATTTATTTCATGTGCAACTTTCTCAAAAGCATTGAGAGTATCGAAATATTCTGTATTCTATGCTTTACTTGTGTGCATTACGGTTCTTGTATCTTCAAAGAAGTTTGCTTTAGTACAATTAGCTAATTCCTTCCATTGCCTGTAACACTTCTTCCGCTATGCTAATACAAACATATAACATTTTTTTATCAGCCTGAAGAAATATTATTTTAACAGAATAACCATTTCCTTTTAATCTTCTAAATGTACCTCTGATACATTTTACTTCATTTCATTTATTTTCTTTTGCTATTACAGTACTGTAAAAATATAAGTTTAGCCTCCTTTGCAATACTGTTTTCTCTCTGTTGAACATTCTAATATTTATTTTAATCTGTGTATGTAAATCATTGCACTCCTTTTTTAACCTTACATTTTGCTTATTTTAAAAACAAAAATAAACCACTTGTGTTAGTGCTTTCTGAATTTTGATTTACAGTACTTGCTTTTTGGATGAATGTGTCCTGCATACATTATCTGCTAATTGCACATACTGTATATTCTATCCCATTCCTCTTCTCTTTTGCACAGTTTTATTCCACACAATCTGCTTTCCTCACAATGTAAACCTTTGTTTTGGATTTAACCTTTGGACAGAATCATTTAGAATTGTACTTCAAGCCATGATCAGTGTCCTAATGATTCCCTTGCCCCTCTTTTCCTTACTGTCATGATTATTTAAAAATACTGCATCAATAAAGTATTCCTTTCAGAGGTTATCCCACGCGACTGAATAAGATAGGTGTATCATTTCAGTTCTCACATCAGTGAGGGTTTTGTCCAGTCTTCAAGAGGAAAATTAAAATATTCTGTGATAGCCACTTCTTCCTTTTACGAATACATCTGATTTCATTATAAAAGTCTTGATTAAAAACATTTGATTAATGTATGGTAATTCTCTAGATGCTATTTTTGACTGATAGTGTTCAAGTTCCACCTCTTTCATCTTCCCTGACTCTTTTTAATGCTGTATTTGTCACCACCTTTTCTGTTCACCATGTTTCCTTGATTCCTTTTCTGCCATAGTCACATATTAATATGTCAACTTTTTTCCCCTCTTTTACTTGCTAATGCTTCTTGGAATTCTATTCTACTGTACTTCAACTTTTCTCAAATTTCTCTGTACCAAGAGAAAGCTAGATCAAGAATTGGTAGCTTGCTCTCCAAAAGAGCTTGCCATTATGTTGGTTTCAAATAGCACTTTTTACAGACTGGTTTTCAGTGAACTAAAAAGCAGAAGTCTTTGGTGACATTTCATTGAATGTATTTGCAAAGTAGTGCATGTAGTTGTTCTGTTTTGCAAGATACAGACGAGATCCTCAAAGACCCTAGTGGTTTGGTCCTACTCTTCTGTTTATTTCCAACATCTTTCAATTTATTTTACAGATAAAATTATTGCTTAATTAATAATTATCTACATTTATATAGAACAATTAATCCCAAAGCATCCACAGTGCTTTACATTTAAAATGGAACTCATTTCATCCACCTTTGAAGTACAGTACCCACATGGGTTGACATACAGTATTATAGTCATTATAACAACAGTAGCCCTGCTACACAGTACAACAGACATAAGATATTTCTCTACCAATTGAATTAAGGAGGAAAATAGCAGGTTGGATTTAGTCAGGATAATGCAGTTATCACCCACACTTTCAAAAAGTTACAAATATTTAACACCTGGTTTTAACTTGTCATCTGAAGAACAGCACAGTATCTTTGTTCACCATACTAAAGCATTTGTTTGGAATTTCTAGTCTAGAAGAAAGAGTGCTACCTATTGGTCCATCGATATCAACTTGGACCTACTAGGATCATCTTACAAGGTGGTCTGCTGCCTTAAGCCAATGTCATTTATCCTGACTAGAACAACAATCACCAGGTGTTTTCCTAGACTTGCTAGAATCCTTTACTCTTTGTCAGCCATTTCAGTTCCAGGGAGGCAGCATATTGCTGATGACAATTTAAAACCAGGAGGGTAATAAAATGAGCAATTCTGAATTCGTTTTAAAATAACTGGTAGAAGGGACAGGTGTTTTACATTCTAGAAAACCTTCTAAATTTAGAAGGGAATTTAATATTTTTTGATAAAAAGCATAATCATGTAATTTGTTACCATTTATTATATAAATGTGAAAATTATGAGTCGAAAGTGATCACATCTATGAGACATATCACTGACACAAATGTCTTAATTGACAACCTTAATGTGGTTTTCATTTTATCTGTTTTTGTTTGATTTGTCCTTATGGCAGTATGGTTCACTGGTTCAACACTCTTGAATGTATTCCAGTGGCAGTCTAAGTGTTAAAGAACAGTGGTTAGGCATTGCTTTCCAAACCAGTGAATTTTATTCCCCTCCCGGTGTTGGATAATATATGGAAATGTGTTCATGACGTAAAATGATGGGAGGGGAGGTGTGTTTTGTAGGGGAGGGGGTTGCAAAAAAGCACATCTTCAGAGCTGCAGTGAGAGAGAGAAAGCACTGTTTGCATCTGCAGCACAGCAAGGACAAGTTACAAAGAGAGAGAGGCAGAGAGGCAGAGGGACTGAGATCAGCACTGCCAACCTGAAAGAGAGCTCAAGGAAGATAACACATAAAATCAAGCCCTGTTTTAGAGGAACAGGCTGTGCAGGCAAGAAATATCATGACAGACTCCAAGAAGAGTGAGATGGAGATCCGGGATAAAGCTATTCTGCACCAGCAACGCCGACTTAAGCAGGCAACCCAGTTCATGCACAAGGATTCAGCTGACCTCCTTCCCCTGGATGGACTAAAGAGACTGGGCACTACTAAAGACCTGGTGAGCACCGTCACCCCCTCCCCCTTGAGCTGAGGGTATCAGAGAGAGAGAGAGCTGCAGGATTGAGACACTGTATTGCAGCTCTCTCCCTCTGCCCCAGTAGAGAGCCCTGCACTCATAACTGCTGTAGGAGATGTGCGTATGTAAAAACAGAAAAGAATCCTGAAGAGCAGCATTAAAGAACCTAATTTGAAGTCACTCCAAATTCCTATTGTTCAGCTGCAGTTTTGAATTAGTTGACATAGAGTAAGTTACAGGTATGAATTTCTAAAGGCATCTTTCAGACCTTTGAGGCACTCTGAAAAGTAAATTATAATCATATGGAATATGGTAACGTGTTTCATGTTTCATTTAAGTCACTATGCATGGTAGTCTTTAATGGAAATTGTACCTAAAGTATCTATATAACTATTTATCTGTGTTTAACTCTTGATCTACTGTATATACTCTGTGTGTCTTGCAGAAGAGTTTGTGTCATAATGTTATTGTGCAAGGAACAGTTGCTTTAATGGTCGCTGCTTTTTTCTGAGTGTTATAAATTCCTTTCTTTGTTATTTGCATCTTTAGAAAAGCAATCGTTTATGCGCATCAAAGAGCTTTTCACTGTGACTGAAAACTTGGAATAACGTAAAATGAAAATATCTATCTAATCTAATAGCTAAAAATATTGTAATTGTGCTATAAGATCAAAAATATATAGGAAAAAAAACATCACTTACTCTGTATCATATTTTTCATCATAGTTGGTTATAAAGCATTCTTTATATTTTAAATATTCAGTTTTACTTAAGCACTTACTCTTACTAAATTACCTAAATAACTAAATTAGCTAAGAAGGCTTGTTTCTTGTAAAATAATGATGCCCAAAGATGAGCAGCCTGGTCAATTCAAAAACCTTAGTTTCTTAGACTCTATTACTACTAGACTGATAAAAATAGATTTCCTGTGGAAATTTCCTACACATTTATTTCAGTTAATTAGACTTTTATTATTGCCTAATTTCTGTTAAAATAGAATGACAAATAGAATGGCCTTAGTTTTACTATAGTACAAGGACACAGTAAAGGCTACAAACTAGTGAAAGCCATTTGGCCCAGCTGGCCCATGCTTCTTAGTAATTTCTCAGATCTAAGACCTGTTTCTTAAAAGACTGTAGGAAGCTATTTCGTCAATCTGTCTGGTAGATCATACCAGACACCCACAACGCTTTCTTCAAAGAAGAGCTTTTGTTTTGTTAAAGACTTTGTTTTTTTTCCTTCAGCAAAAACAGCTGTTGAAAGGATGTCAGCTGCCCAATTGAAGAGCCCTTAGTTCTGTGTTTGAATATCAACAATAAGAATTCACTTCAGAAATCATGTACGTCAATGGGGAATCTCACAGCAGTAACCCCTGGTCTGGTGCAACTGCAAGGATATCTGCAAAGTATTCATTGAGGAGGAGTCTTGAGGCTAGTAAACCTGACTGACTACTATTGAAGTAATAATTCTACCTAGATATACAGTATGTGTAATAAATTTAAATAATATCTGTACAACTAATTTAATTATTTTAACAAGGCTAATTTCAAATGCAGTAGAATTGAAAAAGTGAGCTCTTAAGCATGTTCTAAAACACCCATGTGGTACCTAGTCACTAATTTTACTAAAATTAGATTAATGTAGCTGTAAGGCAAATACAGTAACACTATGTTCTATAACATCTATAGCTATGTCCAAACCATGTTTTTTTTTAAAAAAAACAGAACATTGTGTAATAATCACATTTCACACGTTCTTGCAGAGATTGTGTCAGGAGGTTAAATAATCTGGTTCAATCATTATAGAGGCCATTGACAAAAATATGAGTTTTCAAATATACCATCAGTACAACATCACTGATCCCATTTTAGGAAACTGAAAAAGCCCACAACAGACTTGAATAAGAATATCTGGATTCTAGATTATATACAGTAGCAGCATTACCACCTTATAGCTTGATCTCATTATGTCAGTACTGAGTAATCATTACCTCAAAGAAAAGTCAAGTTACTTCTGTAACTGGCGATGGTGGACCAGTAAATGGCGCTTCTTCATAAGAACATAATAATGGCTAAAACCTAACAGGACATTGGCCCATTATGCTCATTTGTTTGATATAAACTAATTAATCTGAATATTTAATGTTCTTTCTTGGAAGACACTAGGATCTTCAAGGCATCTCTGGCTGGGGAGCTTGTTCCAGCTTTCCACAGAGAGCCAGAATTCCCAGCTAGTGCTACAAAATGGTGACAGAGAACACTGTGCAATAGGAGGTTCTGGCCTTCCAGAAGAGGTGTTAAGTTGATGTCCTGAATTCTTTATTTAAAGAATCATTCCCTTTGAATTTTGCAGCTGGTGAAAGTCAGCTTACCTCTTACTCCTCTTCATATACTATCACAGTAACAATCTTAATAACATTCTTAATCAGGCTGAAGTGCACTTGACCAGATGAGCTAATTTGACCAATTCTTTTCAAGCTTGCATCTTTGAAATAATATCTAAAAATAAACATGCTTCCTCTTTCTCCCCCTTTAATGAATAAGATTTGATTCCATTCTCAAAATCCAAAATTGTTTTTTTGGTTCACTTCTCACATTCTTGGCATCCACTTGAAAAAAATCTATTCCCGTTACATATTGTAGATAAACTATGGCGACATCATTCCAACTTGGTGTTTGGTGAAAAGATTCAAAAAGGTTTGTTTCCTTTGACAGACATTGCCATTGACAATGGGAGAATGGGAGATAGTTATAATGTTAGACTGCTATATTCTGATTTTTGTCTGTTTTTCAAAAAAAATGTACTTTCATTAAATACAAGGTTGCTGCACAGTAGCTATCTAAGAAAAAGTGCATATATCAGACATTTATTATAAGCCAATAAAAAGTTGAGGCTAGTTTATTGCCGAAAAGCAAAAATAAATGTTTTAGTATTAGACAAAGGTAGAAGTTGAAAAGGTAATATAAGATGGAAATCTGGTTGTGAAATCCCAAAGGAAACTGAATCCGAATCTAACCTGCAGGGTAAGATTCTACAAATAAGTGTAGAGATTAGAAAGACATTAGTCATTTGTTGCACACTGAAAGAATACAGTTTGTGCACAATTTAACAATGGACTAATTATTTTGTATATTACTCTTTTCCACACCAACCCATCTTTGCTTCATGTTTTTTCTCTCACCCTCTCTACTGCACACAGTTCAAATCTTTCTGTTCACTTTTCAGTGAGGAATGAATCTTTTCTTGCTGCTTTGTGGCTCGCATGCTGACACATGCTCCCCACTCCATTCTATGTACTGTAGTTTTTAGTCACACTCTGTGACTGCATAATTACAGATCTGGGAGCATAATTGCAAATGAGCCTGATTGCTCATAATATTGCTGTTTTTATTACATGTCTATGAGTAATAAAATTAAGACAGTATTAGACATTGATGAGATAATATGACATGTTTACATAGGTGCAACATCTCAATATATAGTCATATAAAATGTATATACTTCAGGTATTTAAGACTTGATGTAACTTAGTGGCACATACTGTAATTATCTAATTACTACTTGTAGCTACAGGGGAAGCCTAAGTACATCGCATTTGCATTCTAAATCCTAAATATCTTTCAATGACAGTGAAATTGCACATTAAATTGTTTTCTCAGAAGATCAATGCTATAGGTTTCAGAGAGTGCTTTTGTGTGTATGAATATAGTAGTCCTACTGCCAGCTCTAAAATAAGAAGCACTTTGGCAGGCTGACAGATCATTGCAGAGGGATACAAAAACAGTGCTCTCAATGTTGTTTTGAAGATCACAATTTCTAAAAAAGAGCTCCCCGATCAATCCCTGGAGGGAATACCTCACATAACTGATTGCGAGTCTGAGTTTAAAAAAAAGCATTGCAATACTTAATTTTTATTAAGCATATGATTCTCTATTAAATTAACTTGGAGAGAATGTTTAATCTCCCGAAAATAATAAGAATGATGTCCAAGGATAATATGAGCCATATTGACCAGAGGTAGATTCATTGCAGAAGTAAAAGAGGGGTAATTCTGCAGATGTTCATGCTACAAGCGATTCCCCTGTGTTTTGTCAGCTTTGTTTTCTGTGTGTTTGAAGAACTTAGTTATGACTGATTGATGACATCAGGAGACTGTATTGGAGATATGTAATACATTATAGGTCAAGCACTCTGCAGCCATTCTTGTAAAGGTTTCTTCCTCTGATGTAAATGGCAAACCAATGGAAATGGAAATTGATACTGGTGCTTTCGTCTTTCTGAAGACATGTAGAAATTAAAACTGGCAGAAAGAAGTAGTTAAAGTATTGCTAACTGATCCTGGTAAAATTTGAACATACTAAGTAGACTGCACCCAGTGTGAAGCCTGATGGATTTATTATAGATGATGTGTGGATGGCCAGTGATCCTGGCTATGGCAGTGCCAGACATAAAACATTTCACCAAACTAAAGTATCCAGTTCTGGGAGGGATTGGACTGCACAGGACCACAGTGGAAGTTAAGGGGACTTGACATTGATGGCATCCCTAGAGTGTGTACTTTTGTTTATCACCTGGTAAATGCCAGCTAATCCTGGTTGTGTCCAATACAGTTGGTCCAGAAAAACAAAATCTGGAGAGAGTTGTCCTGGAGCAATTGTGCTTTGAGATGCTATTCTGAGCTGTGTCATTGAGTGAAGACCCACTGACTCAGAACCCTTAGAGACATAAAGAAGCTTGCTGAAGATTACCTGCACTACAGGGAAGATGAAAACTCACAACCACTAGCTGTCCTCTGAGGACAGATTCCACAGCAAAGACAGTCCAAGGCTGCAGACACATTTCAGTTGCCTGAAAGTTGCATTCTACAGCCTGTGCCTCACCTAAATTCCTGTGCAAGACCAGCGTGATGTTTCTGGTACCAACTTTCACTTTTGGCAGGATGTGTGTCCCTGGAAAGGCAGAAGTAGCAAGTCTGCACTGTGG